TGAGCAGCAAACCAATTAAATCTTTCAGGACCAATTACATTTTGATGTACTCATTTATGCCCTAATTGCTTCCATGCTAATGTATTCTATATGGAGTTACCCTTCAAAGTGAATTGCTACCACGACACCAGGACGGCAAGCCTTCAGAACATATTATATAGAATATTCACTATTGGGTGCCCATTTCTGAGATCAATTCAACTGTTAATGACTGAAAACATTAGTGATTTTGCTAATGATTCTGCCACGTGCACCTCATATATATGTTCAATCATTTTACCCTTGTAGAACGCTATCTCTAAATGAAATATGTTCAAAATGCTATCTCTAAATGAAATATGGAAGACATTTATGAAACCTTGGCAGCATAAAGTCTTCTTCACTAGATGCAATAATGTTATTGTGATTGACAAGAAGCTAATATGTCTATTTGTATTTGTATTTGTATTTATTTATTATCTATGAATATAGATAAAACAGTAAATCTAATCAGAATAAAATTAAACATTAAAAATTACAGCAATTTACTTTTGAAGTTCAGATGAGTGAAAATAACAACTGAAAGCAACAGAAATTTGTGACAAAAAATTCTTTGTGTTGCTAAATAAATAATTATCTGGATAGTCTTTTTTTCAGGCCCAAACAAATGGGAGATAACAGTTTTTATTTGCTCAAATTCAGGTGTTTCACATCATAAACAGTTTCATTTTCCTTTTTTCTACAGCAGTTAGCATTAAGAAACACGAGGAAACTGTGGTGTACTGCTGAGGAGTGGGTTAGCAGCAAGTTCCTTGGACTAGGAATAAACCATAGTTGACACATTGATGATTTGGTCGATAAACACTTGCTCTTGGGAAGGATCCCATCTGAAAGAAAAAGCCCATTTGCTTCTGATTTATATTCACACTGCAATAGATAAATTCTGGTGCCATTCTGACTGCCTCTTATAAAAATATTTTCATCTACCTACAAAACTAGTTTCTTTCTGTATGCTGGGTTTTTTTTTTTTACATTCATACTTTTAAAAAATCTGATTAATAAAATTCTACTGTGACCTATTAAAGTTGAGAGTATCACAGCAGAGTCTTCTTTATAAGCTATGTTTTTTGTCTGTTCAAGATACCGTACTTTAATTAGATGTTAAAATGAGACATGCTGTATTTCGATGCCTCCATTGCTAGGGTTGCCATTTTTATCCTCTCTTTGCCTAGGGTCTGTATGTTCATTTTTATAATATTTAGTTTTGATTGTGGGTTTTCTATTTTTTTTCTATTTGTTGTTTTATTTAATTTCTGCACCCTGCCCAAAGTCACTTTGTGTGAGATGGGCAACTATACAAATTTGATTAATAAATAAACAAAATAAGTAATTAAAGTGGGGTAGGTATTACTTTTTTGGTATTTTGCCTTTTCTGTCTTTATCTAGAAAGAAATGGTGGACCTGAAGCATTCCTATTAATCATTAGTCATTTGCAGTTCATGCACTCTGGTGAAATGTGCCTGACTGCTGGAATCTGTCTCAGGTGATCAAACCTGACTTGTAAGATTGGGAAATTCACAGCAAAGCTCTTCCTTAAGTTTTCTAGAGCTTCTGGACATTCTGTAAGAAATATATATGTCTCTCACAGCACAGGTGCTCTCTAGATGCTTGTATATTTTTGCATTAATGATGGTGCAAAACACTTCAGAGGAAGGTAAGAGAATAGGAAGTAAGAAGTGAAGTAAGAATAGGATGGTTCTGTGTATATTTTATTAACACCAATCCTTATTGCTATTTGCAGAACATGGGCAACAGAAGGAGAGATTAAAAGCTAGATGCTTATTCTTTCATCCAATTTATCTCTTAATACTCTTTATCCACATGTGTTTTGGGATATTACAAAGACACCAAATCATCTTATATAACAAAATTGGAAGTAATTGCTTTCCATCACAAAGATTGATTTTTGTACAGTGCAACACAAGTGCTTTAAGAAGGACATTATAGCCACAGAAGTCAAATTCACAATGACATGAAGTCTCAAGTGTGGTAGAGATCCAATCAAATGTGAAGAGACTTGAAAAACAATAACAAGACCTTCAAAAATAAATATGAAATAATTTAATGGCTGTAGACAACAAATAGCTACAGACAAGTCTGTTCCCAGAACTGGAATTAATGTGGCTTTAATTTATTAGTTGAGCCCGTTGTATTTTTTTTTTTTTTTTTGGTATAATTTATATTATTTGTCCTTCTAGTTGTCTTGACTATCTGCTTTTGTGTTGGTTTTTTCTACCCAGAGACTTCTAAAGAAAGCAGCCATTTTAAATTGAGTTAATTAAATTAAATTGAATGACAGTGATGAGGTGGCATCATATGAAATAGCTAAACTTGTATACTGAGGAAGAAATAAAGATTCTTTCCCAGAGGATGTTTTGTTTATTAATTTTGTTTGTCCATCATGCCAAAGAAGACACATTAAATTTGAGTTTCCATTCATGGAGAAAAGTCATGCAAATCAATACTATCCAAAAATCAGAAGGTATTGGGTAGCACCTTAATGAATGTTCTAAAACACCCTGTTGATCTTCAAAGATGATACCATTATTATTATTATTATATCAGGGTGAGTCATAGTCTGGGATTGGTAAAAACTTAACAGTTCAAGTCCTATCTAATGACATAAGTGCTCTTAAGGTAATGTCTGAATATATAGGCAGGTCCGTGTAGGGTGTTCCCCCCCCGCGCAAAGTCAGGATATTCAGGTCTAATATGTTCAAAATTTCCATGTATATTATTATCATTACCATGCAACAGAAACTCGATATGGGTAGTCCTCAACCTACGAACACAATTGAGCCCAAAATTTATGTTGTAAAGTGAGAAATTTGTTAAATGAGCTTTGCCCCATTTTACAACTTTTCTTGCCACATTTGTTAAGTGAATCACTGCAGTTGTTAAGTTAGTAACCTGGTTGTTAAGTAAGTCTGGCTTCCCCATTATTTTTGCTTGTCAGAAGATTACAAAAGGTCATCACATGACCCTGAGACATTGCAACCGTCATCCATATGAACCAGTTGTCAAGCATCCAAATGTAAATCATGTGTCCATGTGGATGCTGCAATGGTCAGAAGTGTGAAAAATGACCACAAATCATTTGTTGTTGAGGTCTACCTGTATGTACAAATCAAGGACTACCTGTAGGTACAATAAGTACCATATATTTTGGACTGTAAGACACACTTCCACCTCCCCAAAAGTGGGTGGAAATGTCTATGCATCTTATAGAGCAAATATTGCGGTGGGGGGAGGAGGGTTGGTGCGGCGCCAATCAGCTGTTCTAGGTGATGGGGACTGCTGCCGCCGCCTATTGCAACCACTGCTGCCCGTTCTCAGCAATCTGCACTGAATGGGCCACGGCAAAAGGGCCACGCCTGCATGAATGGCCCACAATGAATGGCCCGCGGCAAATAGGCTGCAGAGAACGGGCCATGGCAGCGGCAAATGGGCCACAGCAAATGGGCCATGGAGGCTGAGGCAAATATTTTTTTTCTTGTTTTCTTCCTCTAAAGCTAATGTGCGTCTTATAGTCTGGAGCATCTTGCAGTCCGAAAAATATGGTAATAGTAAATACCTCAAATTTATGAAGAAGGATTTTGAACAGGGAAAGATTACTAAATGTAATAATATTAGCCAAAAAAAAAATGGAAAATGCCTGAAATCATGGAAATCATGTTATATTATGTATTTGTTAGATTGCGAGTTGCCTTTACTTCAGGAGCTCAACGTGGTATTAAAGCAATTCCTCCTCCATTGCCCAGACAACACTGGGAGGTAATGTAGAACTAAGAGAGAATAGCTGGCTGTAAGTGATCCAGTGGGGCTTAGAGATCAATATAATTCAGTTAGGCCATTCATGGCTGGTAGCTTGTCTTGGGTGCCACCTTAGAGTAACCTTATATTTAATATCCCATTTAAAAATATTTATATGGAACAGAACCCATTCTTTCACATAGCTTGGATTGTGTCTTAAAATGATTTAAAGAAACAACAACTGGAACCTCATTATGCAAACTGGAGCAAATGTAAACTCTAGATTAGGATCAGGTGGATAAGCAGAACAAGATAAACCAGCATTTTTCCAATATCTTCCTAAAGTGCACTTCAGCATAATAATTATGCCCATACCAATGATATATGCTCATTTACCAAATAATAAAAGCAAAATTATGTCAAAAGCCACATGTCATTCTCCAATCATTTTAGTACACAAAGCTCATGGCAGTTGACTTGATCTTCAGCAACACAGGTCATTATTGCATTATTTTATTTTATTATATAAAATAAAAACAATTCCATATTATTTAATTTGCACTAGATTAAAAGGAGTCATTTAAAATTTTAAGAAATAGAAGCAAAGGTAATGGTAGATTTAAAATAGAACCATTTCAATGATGCATGCTTTTCCCTGGGTCACCAAGTGTTTTTAGTTTCCATATATACGAGAGAGGCTCCAATATACATAATCTGTATTGGCACATGAAGACCATACAGGCGAAAGGGAGCAAGCCACTTCCTCAAAACAAGGAAGACCACCACTATATCAGGGGTGAAATGCAGCAGGTTCTGACAGGTTCTGGAGAACCGGTAATGGAAATTTTAAGCAGTTCGGAGAACTGGTAACAGAAATTTTAAGTAGTTTGGAGAATTGGCAAATACCACCTCTGGATGGCCCCAGAGTAGGGTGGGAATGGGGATTATCCTTCCCCTGCCATGCCCGCCATGCCCACCAAGCCATGCCCACAGAACCAGTAATAAAAAAATTTGGATTTCACCACTGCACTATATTTTATAATGGCTGGGTAGGAAATCTAGTAAGAAACAGGCAATAGAGTGATTTAAAGACTAATTAGGAAGAAATGTTGTGGATTTTATATGTGCACAGCATATCTCTCCTACTCCTAAAGCAGCCAATCTATTTTTGTGGCTGCTGCACAAGTCATTTGTCCTTTTTTTTTCAGGCTCATGAGGGATCCCTCCCCCAAAAAGTCTGACAACTTTACTGAACTACAGAAGAGTGCTGAGCTTAGGTCCTACTTCCAAATCATCTATAACAAGGCTCAAGGTTGACTCAGCCTTCCATCCTTTCAAAGGTAGGTAAAATGAGGACCCAGATTGTGGGGGCAATAAGCTGACTTTGTATAAATATACAAAAGTATGAAAGCTATTGCTTAACGCATTGTAAGCCGCCCGGAGTCTCTGGAGAAGGGCGGCATATAAATTAAAGGAAAAAAAAAAGGCTGTCAAACTTCCAGCCCACAGGCCAGATGCGTCACGCACTGGCCATGCCCAGGCCCAGTTTAGTGAAGGGGGGAAAAGTCCTGATACATCATGTGATGCTGCTGTGATGACATGAGTTTGACACCCATTGTCTACAAAGTTTGCAAAGTCTTATCAGGCAATCCAAAGAATTCTAAACATGAGAAGAAGAAACAACAATGATGCCAAGAAAAACACCATATGCAATTTTTTCCATTAAAATAGAAGGTGGAGACTCCCCTGAAGCTCATAGCTTTTCTTGCTAAATGAGGCATAGCAAAATAATGGCTGTCATCTCCAATACTTTAAAACTTAACTTCCTCTTCTCTTTTTTTGAAAAGAGTTAGTAGTTAGTATAATTAGCAGCACATGCCTGAAGATCTACTTCAGTAAAGGGGCTGTAATGATCTTAATCCAGGACAAACCCCAGAAGAATAAGGGTGGCTAGCAAGGAATACATTTGCTCTTGTCAATATTTAAATTAGTGAAAGTCTACTATAAATACTTTTTTTTTTTTACTCAGACTGGTGTGAAAAATAATCACAAATGAATCTGTAATTAAGATTTGATTCTTGTCATGCTACACTCAGTGGTAAACTTATGTTTACTACTCACTATGATCAAATATTTTGACCAAATAATTTGGCCTTAGGAAAAAAAATAAGATGTTTTGAAGGAGATGGAATACATGAAAGCTTTACATGAAAGTTTGACATAATAGGAGGCCATGTAACCTTTTGGCCAAATGGATATGTTTAAAGACTTAAAGGGTATGAATGCAGCAGTGTTTTTTAAGTATTTGGGAAAAGGGCAGAATTTATGATTTCACCTATTGTACTTTATGGCCTTTTAAATTTTTCATGAGGTGCCTAAAATCATAGGAATAGGCACATAATTTCATCAAATAAGAAGGAATTCATTAGATATCTCAGAAGGCTCAGAAAGCATCCAGGTTTTGAAAAGCCATATGAACCTTTTCATGAAATGTTTAATTTTTGCTGCAGTTTTCTTATAATGGAAAAATAGTATTCTAAATGAACTGAAATATATGTTATGTTCATACATTTTCTGTAATAAGTTATGGCTTTATAAACAATGTGAACAAAAGCATGCTGATATATCTAAGCTAGGGAAGAGATGGTTTTCTAAACCAGAATTAAGACTAATTGTACCTAAACAAACCAAGATTGTAAAGACGTATGAGCTGAAATAATGGTTTGCTTTGTTTAGGAATCCTAAAATATTTTGCAACAATAAATTGGATTTCTAGGTTCAGATACCATGCAAAATACAACAAATATCCCAGAATGCTTCTCAGCTGGATTTTTGTACACCCAAGCAATTCTTCTTCTTCTTCGCAAATCTATAATTTTATCTTTATTTAAAGGCGGGTGCGATGCGAACCATGATCACAATTAGTTAAAAAAATACAGATATTATTTTACCAAATTTTAAGCAAAATAAAACACTGACCCAAATTTACAAGGACTAATATTTATAACAGTGGTACAGATTGTCCTCCTACTGATATTTTATACTAAATATTTGGCCCATGTAATTCTTTTAGATAAAGTAGTGAGTTGAGACAGTCCTCTCAGCCTTAATGTGGTTTCTTTGATACACGTAGCCCTTGACTTATGACCACAGTTGAGCCCAAAATTTCTGTTGCTAAGTGAGACATTTGTTAAGTGCCCCATTTTATGACCTTTGTTGCCACAGTTGTTAAGTGAATCACTACAGCCATTAGTTGTTAAGCAGCTTGCCCATTGACTTTGCTTGTCAGAAAGTCTCACAAGGGGATCATATGACCTATATTTGTGCAACCGTCACAAGTATCTGAATTTTGATTACATCACCATGGGGATGCCACAATGGTCATAAGTGTGAAAAATGGTCATAAGTCAGTGCCATTGTAATGGCAAACGGTCACCAAATGGACTGTTGTAAGTCACGGACTACCTGTACTGCATTAGTGCAACAGTTGTTCACAGCCATTGCATTTTATAAATCATGATTCAGCATTATTTACCATTTAACATTATATGATGTTAATAACTATGATTAAGTCAGCAAGCAACAGTTAAATTTCATAGTTTAATACAATGTGACAATTCAGTTACTAAAGTTTCTAAGTCTACCAAATAAATGTTTCCACATTATATTAGAAGGAAAGGCTATCTCATGTTCATCTTTTAATTTAATCACTACCCAATAACCTATCAGAAGAAATTCAACTAAAAAGGAGACAAAGTCATACAATTCAATTGTACTAATAAAACATTTTTACTTGATAATTATTATCACATTTCATTCATTAAGTTTAGATGGTTAATCAATAAATAATTAATCACTAAGACTACGATCATAATTAATAATATGTTATGCCCATATGTATTTTAAATAGAGAATATCAGAAACGAAGATTTCCTAATCCATAATTTTATTGTTCTCATTATTCCATTGATGCCCTCTTATTGAGAATAATTGATCAGTTGACTTTGTTGCTTGTTCTATGAACGCATTTTTTTAGGTTGTGCATCAAATGATGCCAAAAATTTGTTATAGGACTATTTTAGTTGAATTTAATTTCTCTATAATTAATTTTAATAGGACTTCATTTTGACCATTGAAACCAAATTATTTAAAGATTTGTTTGTAGACAAGTAGCAATACATTGAACTATTGAACTATTTGAACTATTTGAACTATTGAACATTGAACTATTTGGAAAAGATGGTATGCATATAAATTAGAACAAAGCTAAATGTTATTCTTTTTACAAAAATCTTTATTCAATCTTAATGAATAAATGAATGTATGTTAATCCTTTTTACTTTTCATGATGTCAAGGACCAATATGTGTAATTTCTATGGTAATGCAATTTAAGAATAATTATTAATTGCCTGAATTGTGCTAAAGAATATTTTAATCCCAGATGATACAAAGAATAGAATCTTGAACTCAGGACCATTTCATCCATTAACCAGAGTCAAATTCAGATTTTCTCTAGTATACCACCATTTGTAAATTTACAGTTTATACAGAAAATTATATAACAAAAAGGTATATTCTCACTGCATTTTATATTTTAAAATTTAGATTTATATTTAAAAAAAAATAAAATATGAGATTATGAATTGAATTTCAATTCATTGAATGTCCCAGGACCATTCCCTAATCCATAAACAGTGCAGTATAAAAACATAGCTTATTTATTTATTTGTTAAAATATTCCCAACTCAGTGCATATCAAGAGATTTCAGAATGGGATACAATTAATAAAAAAATTCAACTAACAAAGAAAAGCCACATTTCAGTATAGCTATCATAAATAGGCTAGATAGAACCAAAGCTTGTCATAAGATTATAAATTCTACTTTTTAGGAATATCTTTCAGTATTGCATTGAGATTATTAGCTATAATATTTTCCCAATACTGACATTGGGAATATTTACCCATATTCCTGTGATGTGGATGCCATTAAAACCACAACCTATATTCAGTGGTGGGATTCAAGTAATTTAACAACCGGTTCTCTGCCCTAATGATTTCTTCCAATAACCAGTTTTCCAAATTGCTCAGAAAGTTAACAACCGGTTCTCCTGAAGTGGTGCGAACTGGCTGAATCCCACCACTGCCTATATTCATCTGTATTTCCAGTACTACAGGGACATTTGCCACCAATGGATTTCTCTTCTTTTATTTAAATTTCCAGGGCATTCTGACAGCTTTTAACTGCAGTATGTGTTAAATAAACAAGATAAATTTATTTCTTCAAAAATAGCAAAAAAAAATTGCTACTTTGTGTGTAAGGTTCTCCGACAAATAGTTTACTAATAGTTCTTGCTGTTAGGGGATAGTTTTGTGTGTTCATGTTGTCGATTCCATTTTTATTAGTCAATGACTGAAAGAAAGTTCCATCTATCTATCCGTCCATTTAATGTAGAGTCTTTTCCTCTATATTTCATCAGGTTTAATTTTTAAAAAGACTAGAGTGTCAGACTAAAAAAGTAAAGTTCAAAGACTGTGGAGCAAAATATTCCTTTCTTTTTAATTTGGCACTTTTGGAAAGGCTGTGCATAGGTTAGAAAAGATCAGAATGTGAAGTATGAAGGTGAGATTTTCTTTCAGAATATTCAGGGAGAGACTGAGGTCTGCCTACCTGGTTGTTCCTTCATTTAAAAAAAAAAAACCCACCCGATTATATGCATTCACCACAACAAATGGGGAGTTTTCTCATTTCTTGTACTTTCTTTCTCCTTCATGACTGATCCAGGTGACCACCAAAGTTGCTTAATTCCCTGACCAACATTTGATCATCTAATAAGACTACATTTACATGAACCACCAGCTGCATCAGAGAAGATGCCATCACCACCACCAAGCTACCTTAAATTAAAATACAGATAGACATTTTCCAATTATTACTTTTTAAAAGGATCCCTCAAGACAGACGTGGTGGCTCAGTGGCTAAGACATTGAGCTTGTTGATCGAAAAGTCGGCAGTTCAGCAGTTTGAATCCCTAGTGCTGTGTAACGGGGTGAGCTCCCGTTACTTGTCCCAGCTTCTGCCAACCTAGCAGTTCAAAAGCACATAAAAAATGAAAGTAGAAAAATAGGGACCACCTTTGGTGGGAAGGCAACAGCGTTCTGTGCGCCTTTGGCATTTAGTCATGCCGGCCACATAACCACGGAGATGTTTTCGGACAGCACTGGCTCTTCGGCTTTCAAACAGAGATGAGCACTGCCCCCTAGAGTCAGGAATGACTAGCATATATGTGCGAGGGGGACCTTTTCCTTTACTTTAAAAGGATCCCTCAGTTTTATTTATTTTTTTAGTCCCTGCAAAAAGAGGGATAAAAAGACATGCTTATTCAAAAGGCGTAAAGAAAGTAATAGGAGTCAGCCCAGCATTTGTTTATCTTATTTAAAAACCAGTAACTCTACTGTAGCATTCCTCCCAGGGCTTCAATAAGAATAAAAGAAAAGCTGCATGTGCCTTGAATGTCTTGAAGAAAAATCATATATCAATCTATAAATAAAGATAAATCAAAGGAATGAAATAAATACTGACAGATTCTTACCCAGATTTTGCTGGCAGTAAAATGCAGATTGTTCAGGGCTTTTTCAAATACTTGTCTATGAATAAATGCACATCCATAAACAATTATTTAAAATATGATGGACTATGATTTTGATAAAGGTTAGAAACAACTGCTTAAAAATTAGCTACCATTAATGCATGCCTAGGGAACTCTTCTATGGGAGGAGAAGAGCTGCACAAGAGCACTGCAGCAAGTTTTTGCTGCATTGTTTCATTTGAGGGCTCTTACAGAGCTCCTGTTCAATTCAGCAGGAACATGGTATCAATCCTTTACAGATTATCGGTGTAATTCAAGCATCTTTCCAACAGCACTGATTTTCAAAGCCACTATTTGGCTTCTAAAGTTTAATTAGCATCAGCAGAGAAAGGAGAATGTGAAATAATGAGGCCATTTACTTCTTAAACCTTTCCATATTCATAAACTTAGCATAAACTAGGACAAACTGATCTTTGAGGTCACAATTCCAAAACCATCCAGTAAAACTAATCTGTTCTGGGGACAGGATTTTTAACATTATTTTTTAAATTGCTGAACAATCTCTGGACTAGTCAGTCAAATCAAGCATTTCTAAGAAGATTAGGACAGTTGCTTAAAATGCATGGAGGAAAGATTTAACATTCATTACAGTCCAGCATGTTTTTCAGCCCTTAATGGGAACAGAACATATTAAAAAGGACTGTGTTCTATCACAGTAGACAAAATCTACTATCAATGAGCCATATGAGATCAGTTATAAAGATTTCAATTTCCTGATACTTCCTGATCTTAGGTGGGGAAAGTATTATATTTAGAGCACTGGTTTATGCACAATTATTGATGAGAAACGTTGTATATAGAAATGTATTATGCGATAGGTTATGAATTAATTCTACAACAACTACAAGGCAAAACTAACTAGATCACAATGCAAAAATATAAAGCAAGTTGAAAATCTACATCATCTTCAGAAGTACACTAAAATTGGTCATTTCTAACTGTGAATAGATTGGTCAAGTCTGGTTTTACTCAATTTTTTCAGCTTTACCAATATTTTATTCTGTTTCCACCTATGATTGCAATTATTTTTTCCAAGTAAAAGATTTTTGCAGCAAGTCATTTTTGTAAATTATTTTTCATCAAGATATGGATTCTTAATTTATATGAATTTTTGTGAGTGAATATTTTTAGACACATTTGGGAATGGTACAAAATCATACTGCAAAATTTATAACGTTATGAATATCAAAGGATAATCACGTTTCAGTTCAAACTAAGCTGCAAATCAAGCAAATTTCGTTCCCATTCCTAATTGCCTTCCATGTATTTGCCAAGGAGCTCCTGGGACCACCAGATGGCTCGTAGCCCAGCCAGATTGATATAGAGATGTTTGCTAGCTCCATGCTGTATCTGTGTGTACATGCAGATGCTCCTGCTACAACTTTTGGTGAGCTGCAAAAAACTGGAAAAGTATAGGGAGCAAATCTACTTTGTTTAAATGCATATTTACAATACATACCTTCATTAATAATACATGGAATTCAGCTGACATCTAAAAATCAATAATTGATGCAATTGATGACAAAAAAGATCATTCTTCTGTGGTTTTATAACTCTTATTTATGATGAGATCAAGTCTCAGTAATTTATGTCAGAGGTAACTAGAGAATCTTCTGTTTTGTTTTTTATAGGCTTAAAAGCAAATCATTCCCCTTCAGCCAGAATTTTTTCAGTTCTGCATTTAATTTCTCTTTAGTTTTTAAATTATTTGTCATACATCTGACTATGCAATGAGAATTTCATGCACTATATTCCATCTGTATTTTTTACATGACGCTACCAGAATTTGGATGAAAAATATATATAACTACCAGATGACATTAAACAGATACAGTACAGAGAACTGTAGCTACATGGGTTTTTGCAGTTCAGGTCTGGTAGCCCTACTTTTGTATGTACAGGTGGCCTTCGACTTACAACAGTTCATTTAGTGACTGTTCAAAGTTACAATGGCACTGAAAAAAAAAACACTTATGACCGTTGCAGCATCACAATGGTCACATGATCAAAATTCAGACACTTAGCAACTGACCCATATTTATAACTGTTGCAGCGTCCCGGAGTCATGTGATCCCCTTTTGCGACCTTTTGACAAGCAAAGTCGATGGGGAAGCCTGATTCACTTAACAACCCTGTTACTAATTTAACAACCGCAGTGATTCACTTAACAACCGTGGCAGGAAAGGTTGTAAAATGTGGCAAAATTCACTTAACAGCTGTCTCACTTAACAACAGAAATTTTGGGCTCAATTGTGGTTGTGAGTTCAGGACTAGCTGTATTTAAATTGCTTTAGTTTCTAGGAGGGGAAACATTGTAATATGCTTTGAAAACATAAAACATTATTTTCTAAATGCAGTACTTTGTGTTGATTTTTTAATGTGTTAACAAGATTAAAAACTAAAAACAAATTACCATCTGATTGCCTTTTCATAAGTCAGTGAAGCTTATCCATACTGGATAGTATGAATAGTGAAAGATATAAGTCTCTAAGGGATAACTTCCTAGATTGTTTTACCACAAATCCAAACAACAGAATTAGATTTTAATAGTTCTTTAGTTTTTTTATACCAAACTAAAATTACATATATATATATACATACATACATATAATATATATATATATATATGTATGTATGTATGTATGTATGTATGTATGTATGTATGTATATGTATATGTATATGTATATGTATATGTATATGTATATGTATATGTATATGTATATGTATATGTATATATCGCCAATTGCTTAAAGAAAGAACTTGTAAAGTAGAATTCCTCAAATACTGAGTTTAATGATTTCTTACCTGTGGATCTCTAACTAGGCATGTGTAGTTAAGGTACAAAGATATGCTAAGATAGTTCTTTGTTATATTACATCTTCAGAAATAGTTTTGAATGTCCTTTATAAGTATCTGCATACAGATGATTAAACATAATTGCAAAAAGACAATTTCAGATGTAGTCCATCTTGAATGAAATTTTGAATGAAACAGTGAATGAAACAGTGATGAAAGCTGGAAGATGTGATAATAGTGGTTTACTTCAATGTTGTAGACTTGTGATACCTTACAATCTGCCTCTGCTTTTCATGGCCATATAATTATGCTGACAACTTGTTGTAGGCATAATTGTTTGGAATGCTTTTTCACTTGGACCATCTTTAGTTATGCTAGCTGGAATACTACAGCCTGATCATTGATATCTGCAATCAAAATTGTAAGGATGCATTGTTACAATATACTTCCCCACCCCTAAAAGAACAACTTCCTGAAGAACATTCAAGCTACGAATATAAGAATTCCATGACATGTTATATACATACATATATACATACATTTATATATATATATATAAACTACACCTTGTCCCAAACATCTTCATAGTACTGCATTGTGGCAGTTTACTTCTTTATTATTATTTTTTGTTATAATAAAAAGCAAGAAAGAATAGCATCAACTTTAAAGAAATGTGAGATTGCCCTAATTTTGAGAATAATTTTTCATACAATGTTTAGTCCAGGTGTTCGTTGCAAAAGGAGTGAAATTCATTGCTAACTCAATCTAAGAATTCTAAAGAAGACAAATTTGATGCCAGAATCAACATTTTACTTAAACATTAAGAGAGGCAGAAAAAGTTATATATGAAAATATTTCCACTTACACTTACTGTACAGAACTGAATTAAATGAGTATATTATTCACATCATGTAACCCATATTGAACAGAACGAGAACTATAAAAGTCAAAAAAATCAAATCAGTTTTTTTAAAAAAACTAGCGCAGCTAATTATTACAACTATTCTATTCTATTTATTTTATTATTATGGGATTGAAAAAAATCCCATAGGGATTTCATTGCTAGGAAATGTTAAGGAGTACTTTAAAGAGTTAGCAAATATACACAATTATCTACACAATACATTTTAATCAAAGCAGAATATCTGACCATATGCTATTATGGTAATATCTCTGTTTCCTTATAAGCTTCATAGGAGTGATAAGTACTGTACTTTTCATGTCAAAGCAGCAAATGTTTCCCTTTTAGTCATTTTTATGTATAAGAACGTCTAGAAGAAGGAAAAGGGAGGGCTATAGAAATGAACATGATATAGGAGAGTTCCAATCCAGATAAATAGATTTCTGGGTACGCTGTTGCCTGGTGGCTCACATTGTCAGCGCTTTGCTATCACTGAGCATCTATCAGAGGAAAGCGAAGGGATGGTAGTTCTCAAATAAGATGTCAGGTTTGTTAAATCACCTAGTGCTGTGCTGATCTTCTTAGTTCAGTTGAACCAACATGCAGTGTGTGTGTGTGTGTGTTGTGTTGAGTGTATGTGTAACTGATGATCCAGGAAAAGGATCTGAATATAAATTCCAAACATTCATATTTGTTTTAAAGCATAGCCTGCAATGTTGGGCAATATGACTAAATTAACTGAATTTGCATTCAGCGTATATTACTGCAGAATGTCTTTCTGGGATCATATTATAGACTACTGTGCAATGTGTTTATCATTTCATGTGTGAAGAAGTCTAACCTGCAGTGGCAACAGACAGGAAGCTTACTAACCATTGTCAATACCATGGTCGGAGGTTCTCTGAAACTGTGTTTCCCAAACTTTCCTGTCATTACCAATGTCTCTGTTTCCTCAATAGAAATACTCAGAGAAGCAACAGAGAAGGGCAGCAACTTCCAGCTGCTTCATTGTTCCTCCGGCAGAAGGCAGCTATCCAGATTGGGCTCAAAAGCAACAGAGATGGACAATGACCACAGCAGAAAGACAATGTGAATTGTCTGAATGAAAAGAAGCATGCAGAGGATATTTTACCCTAGCAGCTACCAAAAAAACTAGAAGAGGCACCAGAGAGCATGAATGTGGGATGAAACTCCCATATTTCTCCATATTTCTCCTTAATATTCCATTTTAAATATGGGAAGTTATGCAGATACCATTGGATGCATCATCCCATCTACAATTTTTTTTCATGATGTAGAATAGAGGCGAGGTCCCTTAGACTCCTATCTCTATTCTGCTGCTATTTTGAACATTAAAGGTTTACAGGTAGTCCTTGACTTATGACCAGCCTTTGAAAGACCTTTTAGAGCTACAACACCTTCGTAAGGGGTGCTTTACAGTCCATAAAGCACTTCTGTCCATCATAAAATATCACACCAACCCCCTTCACTAGTCATCTGGCCACATTTTGGTGACCATCTTGTCACCAAATAGGTTACAGATTACCACAATCACAGCACTTGGTGGTAATCTGTAACCTATAATCACAGCAATTTGTGATGCCTTTTGCTGGTTTCGAATGGTTTCTTTTTTACCAGTTTCACATAATAACTTCTGTAAAAAAAGGTTGAACAATTGAGTCTGGTTTTGTGGTGCCTCAACTTACAACCACAACAACTTGCGATTGTAATTACAATCTCCATTGTGGTCCTAAGTCAAGGGCTACACATAAAGCACAATATGGTTCCCAGTAGCTCTAGAACTATATCTGGATTTTGTTTCATTTGGTTAGAGATATATAGATAATATACATACTTCCTTTTTCATCATTTCTCATTGTTTTTTCCTGCCCGTTAGTGTATTTTTGACAATTAAACATTTTTTATTTTTGCTGGAGAGAGAGAGAGAGAGAGAGAGAGAGAGAGAGAGAGAGTCAGTTTGGTTAGGCTAGAAACCTGGAAACTATGAGTTCTAGTCTTGCCTCAGGTCCATTTGGAGGCAAATGATACCCCAAAGTGAGCAACTGTGTTATCATGCTTTGTGAGCCTTATTTATTAGCCTTAACTATTTATTCTATACTCTTTTCATAAAATAAAATACAAGTGACATGTTTTCCCCCCCCCCCCACATTTCCATCTTATTTCCCTTGATACTTCCCTTAATAATGGAAAACACTCTCTAAGCTTCCCTGGACAGAATTTGCATTGCCTGTGCCATCTTTTACTGGCAAGGTTTTACTGTTACAGTATACGTGAGCCTTAATTTATTTTTGTTTTCCTAATTTTCCTTTTTTTGCTTGTATTTTAATTTTATAATAAATGTGTAATCATTTTTTCTTCTCTTCATTTCTTGTCCATCATTCAGAGTCATGACATTGTGCTGGGATATAAATTAGTAATAAACACACAAACAAACAAACAAATATTCACTGAATTCAGAGAATATCACCTTGATAAATGCCACTTTGAAGAACAAAACAAAAGAACCTACTCACAACATGTTTGAAATTTTGCAAGACAGAAGAAACATATTTTTTTACTTCAGATTTAATCAAACTCTAACCCAGGGATCAGCAACCCGTGGCTCTGGAGCCGCATGTGGCTCTTTCATCCCTCTGCTGCAGCTCCCTGTTGCCAGCTGGCTCCACCATTGATAGGGGGCTTTCAGTTAGGGCAGATAGAGGAAAATGAACGCCATGCTGGGAGGGGATTCTATGGTGGGGGGAACAGGACTTCTGGTCGGCTCCAGAATTGAATGGGGGGCTTCCAGTTAGGACCTTTGTGGCTCTTTTAAGTGTTTAAGTTTGCCGACCCCTGCTCTAACCCAAACAACAATGTAATGGGTAATTTAAAAGCACTTAACACTGGTTTTTATAAAATCTACCACTTTGTAATGATATCATGTCACACATGTCATGTTTTTATTCTACTAAAAATGAAATGATGGACATCTGTATTTTTCCTTGTGCTGGACAACAGGAGACAACAGTCATGAATTGGATACTTCTGCAAAAATCTAGAGCTTCAAATCAGAACCTCAGGATAACCAGTGAATCTGTGCACATCCATCCTTTGCATAAAAGTTTTTTGCATTCAGGAAATGAATAGAATTGTATCCCAGTCTATCTCCTTGAAATATCATAGCATGGAAATGATAACATCTGAATGCTTTTCCTGCCATGAACAGAAATGAAAATGGCTTAATGCTAAATCAAGTGTATTGGATGCATGAACTCTGTTTTTGTTTTTTTGTAATATAATTGAATGTCTGTGGGTGTGTAGTTATATAGACAAAATATGTTATTGCTAGCAATTGTGTTGTAAACTCATCTATCAAAGGAAAGCTTTTGTTCAACATACTTGGAAATAATAATAAAGTCAGATACTTGCTGAAATCAAAATATTATATAATAAAAATGCCACACTCTTTATATTTATCAGTATTCCAGTGTAATTTTCTTCCTTTCCTTTCACTAAGGTTTTCAAAAAGATGGTGCCCAAGCACCATTTGGAATGAATAGAAGCTAGAAAAATGCATTCAATAAATTGCAGTTTGGATACTTATTCCACTACTAGGCATTCTACTTCTTGCAAATGTTTTAATGGTTAAATATATTGTATATACCTTTGGGATAATCAAAGTAGTTCATATCTCCTAAACCAGCGATCACCAACTGGTGGTCCGTGGACCACTGGTGGTCCATGAGAAAATTTTGGTGGTCCGCAGAAAAATTATTTGCATTTTTATATTGCACTAAATCAAGGGTCCTCAAACTACAGCCCCTGGGACGGATACGTGCAATGAACGTTTGTGTTGCTGCAGAGAGTCTCCCCCTTTAGGGTCTTTTTGTGGGGGTTGGAGGGGGGCAGAAATTCTGACATGGGGTCTCCTGTAGCCTCCTGGTGCGGGGCTTTGGGCGAAGGCTGGAGGGAAGCGCCGCTGGTGGCAAAGAACTGGAGGGCCTTATTCCAGTGGGACTGCATCATGGTCTGAAACTAGCTGACCATCTCAGCCCACTGAGCCTCCAGGTGCCGGTACCTGGACTTGCACTCCCGCAGGTCTTCCCTCTGCTTGGAAAGCCTATGCTCATAGTCCTCAGTGAGGTGCTTCTGCTGAGCCTCCTTCTCGGTCAGATCCAATTTGAACTGAACAGCTGTTTTGCCAATTCTTTCTCATGGTGGCTGCTTAACTCCTACAACTGCTTCCTGTTGGGGCCCTAAGGAGCCCGGGTGGGCAGGAGAGGAGGGGCTGGGAGAGGAGGGGTGAGTAGAGGCTGGTGAGGCGCCCCTCAATGTGAGTGACACTGAGTTGACCACACCCACCCAGTCACATGACCACCTAGCCACGCCCACCCAGCCGGTCATTAGGCAGATTGTATTAGTGGTCCGTGGGATTTAAAATTATGAATTTAGTGGTCCCTGGGGTCCGAAAGGTTGGGGACCCCTGTCCTAAACTACATGACTATAGGGCAAGATCTGACATTTATTTTTAGTACTATCAAAACCTTACATATGCAGTTCTAGCACCTTTACCTTCTACAATTTGCAATTGGATTTACTTTCTAAATTTGGCTACAGTCAAATTTCCATTATATTCAGAGATGATTTCTCCACTGAAGGATTGTTTTATTAAGTAAAGATGCTGAAAGTTTTGAACAGAGATTTCTTCCAAGAAGTGATAATTTTATCAGCTAGAATGAATGAGTCTAAGAACTCATCCTCAAATACTATCATTCAGACATCTAGGAAGGTTCAACCAAACCTTAAGTAGAAGTAACCTCATAAATGTGTACTGGATTGATTTTATACACATATGTCCTTGAAGACATAGAACTGTGTTGTAGGCTGTCCAATAGCTCAACTACTATTGTCAGCCCTGGAGGCCACCTTTTTCTTTGGATCTTTAGGGCTGCCACACTTTTCTTGCAACGGTTTCATTAACCTAACTAGGTAACATCATCAGTGCTGGTCCGACTAGTTAAGGTAATGAAACATTTGCAAGAAAACAAGCAAGCTAAGAGAGCATCAAGGACCCCTCATTTCAACCCTGAGCTACAAATATTCTCTTTTATTGCTACAGTTTAAAGCTCTAATTTAAAACCGGATGTTTTGGTTTGAACTACCTAGCTGGAGATGGGAATCAAGTTATTCCTATCTCTACTTTATAGAAGAGATGCAAAAACAAATTCATTTATATATTCCAAACATTTACATCATTAGCTAAACCAAATTCTTCTGTTTCTAAAAAAAAAAAATAATAATAATCACATTACATGTCTGCGGTTTAAGCAGAACTATCATTTTTGCTTTTGATTGGATTTCACTTGGTGTAGTTGCAGTGCTCTCCAGAATCCTGAACAAATGAATTCTACGTTTTCTTTCTTTGGCAGTTTATGTTGTCTTCTTTTGCTTGAGACATTTATCAAATTGGCAGAAATCTTTGTTGATAATGTGACAAGCCATTCCTTTTTATGGATGATTAATCTATCAACAGCAGCTACTTTTGATAGTTACAGTCCTGAACTTATGAGCACAATTGAGCCCAAAATTTCTGTTGCTAAGAAGACAGTTGTTAAATTCATCATGCCCCATTTTATGACTTCTTTGCTATGGTTCTTAAGCAAATCACTGAAATGTTTAAGTGAGGCATACAGCTATTAAGTGAATCTGGTTTCCCCCATTGACTTTGCTTGTAGGAAACTCCCTAAGAAAGTTACAAATTACAATCCCAAAACCCAGGGACACTGCAATCATCCTAAATACATGCCAGTTACCCAGAGTTTGATCACATGACTGTGGGGATGTTGAAATGGTCGTAAGTGTGAAAACTGATCAATAGTCACTATGATCAGTGCTGTTGTAACATTACACGGTCATTAAACAAATGGTTGTAAATTGACGACTACCTGTAATAATTCCTGAATCACACATATCTTAAATATTAGCTGCAGAACAGCAATAGTGGAAAAGAGCATTTCCCCCTAGTCATCTTGTGTAGTTAAAAGGGTCTCCTGCTGTTTTAAATAGTGTCTTATTTATTTCATAGGATGCTTCAACAACCAATCTATATGTTCCCTATATCTGTGTGAGAGAGAGTATGTGTAAGAGAGTGCATGTGTATGAGGGTGAATGAACAGGAGAGAGATTTCAAACTAATGGATTTGCAAACACTGCAAAAAATAATCGATTTAAAAATAATAAAACTTTGTCTTTTGTTCAAATCCAGCCATTTAACTGCTAAGACTAGGCAAGCTTTTTATAGCCCGTAAAAATAAAAAAAGATAAGTGCCGATGTGTTTTTCCCCAGAGATAAAGAACATGGATTTCAAGGATAACAAGAACCTGCTGCTCTCTAAGAATAGCTATAGCTGATCTCCAACGAAGCTCTGCAATTTAGGAAGAAGTAGATTGCTGAGCTTCTGACCTATCATTTTCATGTTAGATAATCAGAAAAAGTCTTCATAGCAATTTCTGTGCAATAATTAAATATAAGGAGTTTAGGAGTTTAACCTTAATTCTTCCTAGAGTAATTTCTAAAGCAGGTCATATAAAGCTGATAAATTATTATTGCACATCAAGCTTTAGTTTAATAATACAAAGAAGTTCATTGGCTTACTGGCAATATCGTGAAAGTAACTGCACAAGTATTCTCATGATCAATGTTAGTTGTAAAAGCACTTCAGTGTTAATTTTGAAGCCATTCTTATAATTTAAATTGAACTGTATGACTTTCATATTATCCACTACAATCAAGATTAAAATATATGAAAATAATATATATATTTATGCATGTAGTTTTGGCATCTCCAACCCGGACCACCCCAATGATGCCCTTCAAGTGATGTCCCGGTGCCTGGAGGCTGTACGGATCTGGATGGGGAGGAACAGACTCAGGCTCAACCCATCCAAGACTGAGTGGCTGTGGTTTCCAACATCCTGATATAGTCAGTTGGTGCCATCACCAACTATTGGGGGCGAGTCATTGGCCCCCACGGAGAGGGCTCGCAACTTGGGGGTCCTCCTGGACTCACAGCTGTCTTTAGAAGAGCACTTGACGGCTGTGGCCGGGAGGGCGTTTTATTAGGTTCGCCTGATTCGCCAGTTGCATCCCTTTCTGAATCGGGACTCGTTAAATATGGTCACTCATGCCCTCGTCACTTCCCACCTGGACTACTGCAATGTTCTCTACATGGGGCTCCCCTTGAGGAGCACCCGGAGGCTCCAGCTGGACCAGAATGTGGCCGCGTGGGTGGTTATGGGAGTGACGGGGCACTCCCATGTGGCCCCCCTCCTGCGCAAGCTGCACTGGCTCCTGGTGGTCTTCCAGGTGCGCTTCAAGGTTTTGGTTACCACCTTTAGAGCGCTCCATGCCTTAGGACCGGGGTATTACAAGACCGCCTTCTGCCACCAGTGGCCTCTCACTCACCAGTACACTCCCATAGAGAGGGGCTCCTCAGGGTGCTGTCGGCCAAACAATATCGACTGGCGGCTCTCAGGGGAAGAGCCTTCTCTGTGGGGGCACCCGCCATCTGGAACGAGCTCCCCCCGGAGATACGGAGGATCCCGGACCTGCACGCTTTCCGCTGTGCCATCAAAACATTTCTTTTCCAGCAGGCCAGCCTGGCCTAACCTCTCTTTTAAACTTTTTAAAATTTTTAAAATTTTAAATTTGTCTTATGAATTGGGGTGTTTTAAATTTTGTTTTTCGGGCCAATTATTTAATTGTATTTTAATGGTTTTTTAACATTTGTATTATATGTATTTTATTTGGCTGTTCACCACCCTGAGTCCTTCAGGAGTAGGGCGGTATATAAATTCAATAAATAATAATAATAATAATAATAATAATAATAATAATAATAATAATAATAATGTTTTTCTCCAGCCCCAATAAGTCAAATAACTGTTTAGAAAGGAAGATAAATCATTTTATAGTTTATAGGGCAAAAAAGAGATCATATCCCAAGATTTAAATATATAATATTCAAATTTTTTAACCGTAGTCAGGTTGCTAATTATATTTTGTTATTATTTAAACGCAGAAATAATTTTTTAAAGTTCTGGCCTTATTATATCTTGTTTAACTTCTCTGTGTGTGTATGTGCACATATGCACCCATGCAGCCAAGCACACTTACATTCTTCAGATTAGTGTTGACTCCTGGTGACTACCAGGGCAAGTTCTTACTATTTTGGGGGGGTAAGATTTCAGAAGTGGTTTTGCCATTGCCTCCTCCCTAGATCTAAGAGAGAGTGACTGGCCCACAGTTTCCCCTCATGGTTTCCCAGTTTCCAACCTGATCCCTAAAACACTACCCTAACCTGGCTGTTTCTTTGTATCTCACACTTATTTTCTTACTCTATTTTATTTTATTGTGATTTTCCTTTATTGTGTTTATGTTACATCACTTTGTTATGATACATGATTACAACAATAAACTTACCCTATTTCCCCCAAAATAAGACATCCCCTGATAATAAGCCCAATCGGCCTTTTGAGCACATGGCAATAAGGCCAACGCTTATTTCAGGGTCTTATTTTTGGGGAAACATGGTATTTATGTGGGGTCCTTGGTACTCTCTGAGCTTGGCTGTTTTCTTGTAGATGTTTCATTACTCCTACTGTTGAGGTTGCCCAGTTTGGTAATGAAATGTCTGCAAGAAAACAACCAAGCTCAGAGAGCACCAAAGACACCTCATTTCAACCCTGAGGTACAAATATTTTTTTTGATTGGTAATCTTATTTGTCCATTTACTATCCAATACTCTCATTTCTCCTTAAGTACATCAAGAATTTCCTTCTTTTCATTGAATTTATCACAATACCCTGAGAACAACTTTTTCAGCATAGCTTTACAGCCATTTAAAATATATAGTAATTTAGGTCAGGTTTTCAGAACATTAGTCTACTATTTATAAGTCACTAAGTACAAAAAAAAAAACAGAATTCAGAAAGTTGGCTTCCCTTTGTGTAATTGCTTAGTGCCTGCTTAATTTTCTACCTACATTTTTGATAACTGATATTCACTGTCCTGTTGACCCAAAAAGCCCACTGTAGAAAGAAACCCTCCCTATGAACTTTGTTGGGTTTCCATGGAACAAAGTTTGCTCTTTTTCTCAACCATAGAGTGGCATATTCTTGCTAAGGAGGATATAATCAAGATAGTCCATAATTGCCTATCAATCTAACAGTATGGCATATATATAAATATAAAGACAATCTCTTTATATTTCAACTCTAACTCTTTCAGTCTCAAAGAAGAATAGGCTATGTAGCCATTTCTGGTTCCTAATTTTTAAGTGACCATGCCAATATCTTATACCAGTCAGAAAGTTATTTTAATATTTTAGTTATTACATTGTGTATTCACAGTTCCAGTTTCTAGATTGTTTCCTGAAGTTGGCATCTTCAAAAAGCAAATATAAATATTGACATGGCCAAAGGGAAATAGCTGGTTTTTGGTGACTTCGAAATGAAGAACGGTTAAGCAGATGGCACTCAATATTTGTTTATTTTGAATTAGCACAGAACAGCTTTCCCAGTCTGGTGCCTTTCAGATGTTTGAATTACTCTGCCCCTGGTGATGCTGGTAGGAATAATGAGAATTGTAATCTCATAACTCTGAAGGGCTCCAAGTTGGGAAAACAAATTTAAAGAGAAGGAACTCTCTCTCTTTCCTTGGAAAACACAAGCAAAGGATCTCACACAAAATGTATCTAAAGATGGTTGGTGACTTTAAAGGTACTTTTTAAAGGTTTGGTGAGGAGAATTCCAAAAATTCTTTTAAAGAGGAAAAAATGCTTGCACATGTGCACCCACAGAGACATGTATACATACACAACACAGAGAGAAACAAACTTCCTTTGCTAAGTCTGTCCACCAACTGTCTGTGAGAAAAAGCTTCTGAGTAAGTGAATAATAAGGAGAAACAAAACCACTCTGGGGGAAATCAGCCACTGAAACAAAACTCCTGGGTAAGAGGGACCTAGGCAGCCATCCCTGAGCAAAAGGTCAAGTGTGCACTCTCTGCCGGTCTGAGCCAGATGCTTCATCCTTAGACTAGCAGTCTACCCAGATAGTCACACTGCAATCCAGTGCCAGCAATTATAACAAGCAAGGAGTGTCTGAGAGGTTGGTCTAAATCCAGAGAAAAAGAGAAAGGTCCAGGTATTCTTGACCAGTTTCCGGTCTAGCATTTCTTTGGAGCAAAGTACCTGGGGCCAAACTGGAATGGACCGATTCCTTCTACCCTGTGGGCAACCAGCAGATAGCAGAAGCTTGATCTCCTGGTGCTTGTCTTGCGGGGGTGGGGGGGGTGTTTCCATACCAATATAGGAGCCTAACCAAAACCACCGGAAAGATCCCTTAACACATTCACGAACCCTCCCTGCCCCTTATTTCCCGGCACTCACCGATCCTGAGCACTTGCTGGGAAGTCTGAAGGACGCCCAGGCGAAGATAAAGGAGGAGAAACAAGAACCTCCTGCTGGCTTCCATGGCAGAGTCCATGGGCTCCTCGCAAAGGACTCTCTCCGCTTTCTTCACGCTCTGGCTGGGTGCATGCTTCAACCTCTCGGCCACATTTCTCCCTCCTGCTTCGGCATTCGTTGCTCGGGCTCAGACTGGTTGGCAGCCCCTCATATTTTCCTTTAATTCTCTCTCTCTCTCTCTCTCTCTCTCTCTCTCTCTCTCTCTCTCTCTCGTGTATCCCTCCTTCCTTCAGCCCATCACTCCCGCTGGCGTCCCAGCCAAGCGAGAGGGTCTGCAGAGGGTCTCCTCGACTCTAGGGCAGCGAGTCATTCGATGGGAAAGTTGCCTCTCGGAAGGAATGACCCGGCTTGGCTCCCGCTTTCGATCTGCCGCCCAACGACCGAACGGGGAAGCGAAGAGGCAGGAGAGACGAGTTCTCACGGCAAATCCGAGCAGCCGCTGCTGGGAGCCCGTCCCATGCCTTCTCCCAACCCCCGCACCCCTTTCCTCAGCTACTTTCTGCCTCGTGGACCTAGAACTGATTGGATCGCTGCTGTCTCCGAGCTGGCTCTCCTCTCCGGATTAAAGGAACCCGGTCAACTCGCAGCTGGTCAGCTGGAGAAGAATGAATGAAGCCCCTCTGGTGACGTCAGCCCGCCTGGGAGCATCACACGCCGCGCACATACATACTCATACACATACATTACATTTATCGTCCCACTCCCAGCCATTTATCATCAAGCCTCTGATAAAGCAGCACAGCGTCCACTTAGGGATTCTGTTGCTGGGACTTGGGCTGAGATTTGCCCAAAGGAACATAATACGGGACGATTTCGGAGGCCAAAATTCGGGGGAGATTTGAGCATCTTCAGCTTGAATTTCCGAGCCCCTTGAGAAGGGAAAGACTTGACTCCAGGAAACCGTGATAGTTATTGGGGATGGTAAAATAGGATCATATGTCACTACCATTTACTGTTAGGGTACTTTAAAAAAAATAACTAGGGACATCTTTGTATCTCCCCCCAAAAGAAGAAATCTCAGTGGGAGAAGATTCCCTATCCCAATGGGATTCCCCCACCCCATAGAATGAAATTTTTATATCATTAAAGAATTCCTTTGTCAAATAATTACAACTTTGGGCTAATCGCTGAGGGTGATTAGTGAAAAGTGAATGAAATTTCTGCATATCTCAAATGTGTATAAAAGAAAACATGTTATACTGTAATATAGGCATTTTTTAAAAAAATGATACAGAACAGTTCTGAATTCAAGATCTGAACTGACAGCTAGTAGACCAGTTACACCTAAAGAATTTCCTGGATTCTAAATGTTTTGGTAAATACTTACAAACAGGCAATTTTGCTTTTCACTCAAACTGCTCACAGCATTCAAAACCATTATTACAACAAGCAGTGATACCATTCAGTATGTCAGTCTAGCCATCAATAATGAGTTTGATCAGAAGGAAACACTTGTAAGTTACTTTGTACTCAGAATGATTTTATTTGTTTGCTTAATTTTTATTATGTGTTTAATCCACCTGTTAACAAGAATTACCTGAGGGGCCGGAAATTGAAAGAAGTATCACATGTTCCAATTTGATTTTGTTAAATAGCAGGTAGTTGAAGAAAGGACTTGGCACAAAGTATAATACCAATGCTTTATTTAAGCTCCGTAACAGCAATGGCAATTCCAGCCGCGGCAGCCCTTTTTAAACTGGAGCTGTCCGCGGCTTCAGCTACTGACGTTTCTCTAAATTTCCCGCTCTCAGGATTAATTCCTGATTGGCTCATTTAAACTGTCACTGAATACTCAACAGATTTGATAGGTAGAAATTGTATTGATGAAACAGCAATAATATACATGTCTATCTCTATATCTGTACATACACACATATATGTATATATCACTACTATTCCAACATAAGCCTTGGTGGCGCAGTGGTTAGAGTGCAGTGCTGCAGGCTACTTCTGCTGCCTGTTGGCTGCCTGAAATTTGGCAGTTCAAATCGCACCAGGCTCAAGGTTGCCTCAGCCTTCCATCCTTCTGAGGTCAGGAAAATGAGGACCCAGATTGTTGGGAGCAATATGCTGACTCTGTAAACCACTTAGAGAAGGCTGTAAAGCGGTATATAAGTCTAAGTGCTATTACTATAAGAACATTTTTAAAAATTAGGGTGTCAAAGTAAATACATGTTGAAATACTATAATAGTTTCTTATCCAGTCATTGATCACTTATGTGCAGTGATGGCTAATCTTTTCCAGACCGAGTGCCCAAAGCACGCTTGCATGCGCGTGAATGCAGGCGCGTGCACCCGAATCCCCCAAATGCAATGCACACACAGATTCCATGCATGCACCCCCCACACATGTGCACACATCTCCTGCATGCACCCCCTACACATGGACATGCACCCCCACACGCCTCCGTGCACATGCATGAGCGACCCCCACACACAATTACGCCCCCCCCCACATGCTTACATGGCAGAGACCCCGAAGACTAGCTGGCTGGCAGGAGCATGCTCACATGTGCGACGGAGCTGAACTGGGGCAATGGCTCGGGTGCCCACAGAGAGGGCACTGGATGCCACCTCTGGCACGCATGCCATAGGTTTGCCATCACTGACTTAGTGTATACTAATTCACCTGTGTACACCTCAATCTTTCCCTCTCCTGTCCTTTATCATTTTTTGGACTGCTTAAATATAGAAAACAATAAAAAGCAATTATCCATCTAAAGTATCAAATATTTAAATGAATGCCATGATGTTTATTATTTTTAGAAAATACCTTAAAAATTACACACTCAAGAATTTGATTTGCCATTTTAAAAATATCAGTTTCAGAATCAGACTTCCTCACAAATACTGAGCTCAAATTATTCTTGCCAACTGCCTTTATGGTGCATCCATAGCTCTTTAGTATAATCTGTGAAACTTTCACTGCTATCAGCTAGTCTCTCATCTGATGGTGAAGGTTGTGAAGCCTCAGAAGAAAGTGAGTCTCATCTACAAAGCTGAAAGATAGAAGTCCTGAGATATGAACTATGCTTATCTCTTTATGCCAACACCAGGCTTTGTTTGGAGCAGGATAAAACACAAACGTGGTGTGTGGAAATACCATGTAGCACCATTCTAGATTTTCTAAAACAGAATAAAAAAACTACTCCAAGTTTGCCATTAGAGTAGATATTTCTTCCAAATACCTCTCCCCCAAAAGGGAGGGAAAAATATGTAGGGGTTGTGGAATAGAGCAGAAATAGGGAAAAAAAACCTGGAGAAATCATTGACCTCAGTGAAACATTGAAGCTTGGAGCATGGCTCCATAAGGAAGCTGTAGTTACATATTTAAAAAATCATTTATCAAAAACAGGTGAATGAAAAGATTCCAGTCAGTTCTAGTTACATTTATAAAAATATGGTTTTAAGAAATGCTAATATCTTATTCCATTTCTTAAAGGCACAATGGCTTTCAATAAGCCATTTTATTTCTACATTTTAATCCTGACAGCTACATTATGAGTACCTGGGATAATGTTATGCATAAGCAGGGAGATTATTACTGAAGACCCAGTCCAATTACAGACCTTCAGTGATCACAAAGGCATGGTGAGACCTTAATGACAATTGCAAATTTGTGTTATCAAAATGCAACATTGTCTGGTGACCAGAGACATGCCTGCTCGGTTCCAAACCGGAAAATATCAAAAGAGACTCATGATATCTTGCATTACACATCATCACAGCGGCGAGATTGGCGTACGCTCAATTTTGGAAAAATCAAAATATCCCAACAGAGGAGACAATTATAAAGAAGATCTTAGAATGTGCGGAAGCAGATAAATTGACCAAAAAACTAAAAGACAGAGACCAAACACAAATATGTCTATCTTGGGAAAAATTTTATAAATGGTTAGAGAAAAGGAAATTATAACCCACACTAGATGAGGAATTGTATATATTGAGAAACTTATACTGTACAAGTAAAGTGAGGTCGGATAGACCTAACTGATGTATAAAGGTATATAAGTTGTTCTATCTTCTCCGAAACATAATATGGAAATATAGTACCGAATATTAGGTTATTAAGGTACTACATAGAAGTATGCCTGTTTTCTTTCTTTTTTTTCTTTGTTATGTGTTGTATTGTCTTGTGTGTTATTTATATGATGTGTTGTTTTTTCTTTTTAATGGAAAATGTAAATAAAGATTATTTTTTTTAAAAAAAATGCAACATTGTCCTGAGAAATTTTGAATGAAACATTTATGATGTGGAGACACTGTCCACCAAAGGAACTGTTATTACTGTGAGGTATGTACTCTATACTGTACATTAGCTCTGTGTTCATTCAATCCTCCCCTGTTTAGTTGTAGGTTAATTTGATTGTGACTTGAGCTGTTATGATTTCTAAAAACATTTGTGACTTAGTATGCCATGTGAACCACATCATTACAACTGTCTGAAAAAAGCAATATTAAAACTAATCATAGCACATGGTCTGATGGCTTTTGATATTATAGGAAATAAAGTTCAATATTCAGTGAATATTCCAGAAACTGAATAGCAAGAAATGTAGATTAGCTAGGGAAGCATAAGTTCAGAAAAGAGAATAAACAACATTGTCAATATTTTAAAGCATAGTTTTATGAGCAAATCATAATGTCTTGTATGCAAATAATACTAAGTAATAATTGCTTACTTTCACACGATAGTAAGCAAAACTCCAGTGAGCATTCTGTGCCTTGATTTGAGGAGCTAACTGATAAGTTTATAAGTTTGCAATAAGAATGTCTTTACATGCCCTCTCTATGTCCCCTTTCAGTCTCTTTTAGTGTCCATTTTGCTTTTATTTATAGCTTATTATATTATTTCAATTGGGTCATATTAATAATTATTTTCACATTTTATTGTTATCTAGTGGCTTTTAGAAAATTCTCATTGTTTCCATTGGGGAAGCTTATGGATTTTATTATATTCCAGATTATTTTAATAATTAAGCTTAGAGACAATACATTTGGCAGCATAGAAAACATTATTATAATAATACTGTCCAGTAGCAGCAAATCTTTTAATTTTTAAATTTTCTTCTGCATTTTTTCTTGGGTTGCTTTGCAACATTTAGCCAAGTGGGGCATGTGGTCCTTAGGAATACAAGTAGCCACTTTATAGTCTGCCATTCAAATCATGCCAGATCTTGGTTTAAGCTTATAGTGAACAAAATAGTCATCTTTTTAACTACCATATTTGTGTAATAATCCTTCTGCAATTCATCTTTCAGCTTGTGATGAACAAGATATAAAGGAATCTGTATCCTAAGCTGTTCTTATTCAACTATAATGAATTCCTCTTGACATTCTTCAACCTGAGATCTGCAGAAGTATTGGACTACAATCTCCATCTACAATTGGACTACAATCTCCAAACTACATTGTGCCATAGGGGAGAAAATGCCTTGGGCAGCTATCAAAGTAATTACCATGAAATCGCTGGTGTTTTTGCTTGAGGTAAGACTGCCTAAAAGATAAATGGGATGTAAGGAGAGTAACTGGGATGATTGAGACAAAGACCTGGCTCTATGTGAATCACTAGTTGCTGCCATATTCCCCTGCCCACACACACACACTGCAATTGCTTATTAGAGCCTTACATTGTCAAGAGCAGTGGCAAGAACCTTAACATAATACTTGATTTGATTTGATT